GGAAAAAAAAAAAAAAAAATTAAAAATTCCCAGCATCCTCTTTCCTTCGTACATGTGTAGTTGCATCAACATAAACATCACTTTAGTTTGATGAAGTCCTAAGGACAAAATACATTACACAAAATTTTTTTTTACTTTGTCAATTTTTTTCCCTAACACATTACTTTATATAATCATAATAGTAAATGAAAGAGACATGTAGTTTAATGGTTAGCAAGCTTGTCTTGTTCAGTCCTCACTGGGCGCCCCATACTTCTGACCTTGTGCCACATCTATGCTTAGAAAGTCAACATAAAAGTAAATGAAAGTTTTATGTTTGTTGTCATATCAAGATTTACGCATAAAATAATCACTTCTCTCTCTCATATATCAAATGTAAGTATAAAGTTTAAAATAAGTTGCTATACTTATGGAGGAAGAGGGCTCAATATCTGAGACCTACAACATCTTATTCAAAAATTAAAAAAAAAAACACATACCCTTGATTTGACCAATATTAAATTGACAGTGTCCAGAAAGGAATAAACAATTATTTTATGTCTTAAAAATTTAGTCTTATATTCTTATTATGTTAGTAAAATAACATTACAAATTTACAAAAGTCTTTTACATCATACTCCGACGAGCTACTTTTACTGATTCCCAAACTGCATGAATTTAAACATACTACTTGGTTGGCATTTTAGTCCCACCCTTTCACTCAAAATGGTTAAATGTAGCCATCTTTTCTACTCCTTCACTCACACTTCCTGCCAGTGGAATTCCATTCCCCTTACTTGCTTCCTTGGTAGCTATAATCTCCAAATATTCAAATGCAATGTCAATTGACATCTCCAGATGCCTTGATTTACTTCCCTTCCTTCTCTTCATCCTTTCTTCTATCACACCTCTTTACTCTTGCTCCCAATATCTCTAACTCCTTTTGTTCTAATGGCACTCCAACCTTGCTTGGGGTGAAATGCTTAAAAAAAAAAAAAAAAGAAAAAAAAAAGAAGTTTTCTTTCTGTCTTCATATTTAGTTAGACTTGTAAAATGCTGTTATTTGCATCAATAATGACAAAATTTTTAGCTTTTGCCAATTAATCTATCAGAAATTAGAAAAAAAAAAAAAGAAGAAAAAAAGAAGAAAAAAAGAAAAAAAAAGAAGAAAAGAAGAAAAAAGAAAAGAAAATTAGTCGTTACAGCTAAGTGCACCTCGACTTAGACATTTTTTGATCTACCTTTTTGTTTTGTATTTTTCTTTTAGGTGTTGTCTACAAAGAATTGATACTTGATTACCTATCCCAGTTCACTCTAAAGGGTTACTAAGTAAAGATTGACATTCTGCACCTAAGACTGTCCTTAGTAACTAATTAAGTAAATAGTAAAGGGGAAGACCTATAACTAATCTCCACCCCCATGACATAACTAGCAACACAGAATATAAGGATCAACATACTAACGATTTGGGGACTTCATAATGTGTTACTTAGTAACCATTAAATATTTTTCTCTAGTTAAGTTTTCAGCACTTGATGAAAGGTTGTGTGAAGATCAAATATTCAACCTACAATTTTTACTATGATTTTGCTTGTGTTTACTAAATTTTTATTGCTGCAACTCTTATGTCATCTGCCACACTGTCAATATAAACCTGTTTTAAACAATGTAGAATAGGAAAATGATTTGTTTGCTACTTTTGAAAATGATGGAAAAAATTGTGTATAGAAGTAGGTGTAGACAGGTCTACCTATTGTCTGGTTCACACTCCTCCCCAATCTTTGGAACAGAAGCAGAGGTATATCCTAGGTTTCCTGTCTAGGACTGAGTTTCAGATTCCTTCTAATATCTTTACCACTTCTAGTAGCCCTTTGCATCATGGTATTATTGCCTTGCTTGAGGCAGATAAAAAAAAAATGGTCATACTCATTCTTACTTCATCTAAGGAAATGAACTTTTTTATGCACCATGTCCTTTTAGGACATGGAAGATAATAGCTCTCCACAACTTCCTATCCTTAGGAGCTCTAAGCAGTGTTTGTCACCTTACTATTCCTCCCAGTCCCTGTTCTGCTATCCATTTACAAAATCTGATTTAGTTAGGTTAACCACTGTCTCTTTCCTCCTCTCTTGCCTGTGGGTGCTGAATTCTTCAAGTCCTCTGTCCTTATGAGTCTCAAAGATTTCAACTGTCTCTTTCTGATTTTAAATACAAGTGTCCATTTTGTTTTCACTTTCCTTAAAACTTCCTCATTACTCACATCTTCTGCTAATGGTATTCATGGCATTCTTCTGTAGAACCATATCTCTAAGTTGCCTTTTCACCTGAGGAAATATTTTAATATTGTTGTAACCTAGGGAAGGTAACTGAATAGAATAATTGCATGAAGGTTGTTAATGAACAATAATACGGAGGACACGAACAACACACATAAGATCTGCTAGTGGCGTGTGGAAGTAGTAGTCAATTGCTAGAAGTGAGTCAAATGAATTCCACAATGAATTTAACTGCAGACCAACATACAGTATTTACTACTGTATTTATGTGAATGGGGACATACCCATTATTGTCCATAGGTATGCTACAACATATATTCACTGCAATAAAGAAGGATTGGTATTACATACCAGTTTAGTACTCTGCTGCTTGGTTCTAACAAAATTTTCTTATTTATTAATATTTTGCTTAGATTTTGGATGGCATCTTTCACTATTCTAATGCGCCTTCAAATTTTTGTGTCTCATTTTCCATTGTGATAACATTTTACAGAGTTAAATTTCTGTATTTGCTTAAATTTGATATCTCTAATTTGTAGCTTGCATCTTGGCTTGTCCATCCTCCCTATATCAGAGATAATCATTGCATTCCAGTGATTTTTGCTAATCAGTTTACAACTGACACTTTTATGCTATGGAGTTGTGCTTTATTTCTCTGAATATTTGCAGTTTTTTTTTTTTTTTTTAAATGCCTTCTTTTAAATTTATTTACTCATCACAAATTGTTCTTGTAGTTTTAAATTTGAGGATGAATTTGAAACTATACATTTCTCAGGAAATGTAGGTTTATGTTAGTTTCTGAACTTAAAAAGAACAGATTGAATATATTGAAGATAATAGCAAGAACCAGATTATTGCAAGAGTCATTTGAAAGCTATTTTCAAGATTTGACTGAAGAAGACTGCATATTTGCATTTATAAATTCATTTTCCCCTAGCGAACCCAAAATTCATGAAGACGTCTAACAATATATAAATTCAAAATTGAAAATTAAATCAGATGAGCTTCCTTTAATCACAAATATCTCTGACATTATAAACTTCTGGTGTTCCTTACTCTGTGAACATTTTCCAGAACTAAGACAATTTGCTAAGAATTATGCGATTTTGGAACAAGTAAGGATGCTAAGGATATCATGGACCAAGTGTGTGAGCAATGATGGGGTCTTGGAGAGAATGCAAACAAGGAGGAGGCTTATACTTAACATCAGGAAGAGGCAGCTGAAGTTCCTGGGATACATAATGAGGAAGGAGGGTCTGGAGAATCTGATACCCACAGGTTGAATAGAGGGAGGGAGACAAGGGAAAACAATGCATGACATACCTAGCAGGCTTAAGCAAGTGGATGACAGAACATGGTCTGGGGGAGGTGGCAGAGGGAAGGAATTTGTTGAGATGATGTTCACCTATGTCCTGAAAGGACATGGCACATAGAAAGAAAAGACTTTCAGCTATAAAATTGATTAAAAGCAAAACTTAAGAGAAGTAAGGTTCATTTTGATTTGATATTACCTCAATAAATTATAGAAAAATACTAAACATATTTAGAGAAATATTTTTTATAAGAGTTAATGTGTACAAGACCAGTATAGTACATCTGAACTTGTACTTAGAAAAAAAACTTGACACATATATAATATGTAAAGCTGACCATTCCTACTCTATACTTGCACAATATATTGCCTCTCTTATATACACACTTTGATTAATAAGTAATTGCTTTTCACTATGCATGGTCTTCTCTTGTGTTCACTAAATTTTCTGTTGCAACAAAATTATCAGATTTTGTATTAATATTTCTCCATGGAACAATCCTTCTAATCCAACATATTTCTTAAACTGTTAAAATAAAGTAGAATATATTTATTAATTAACTTCCATATTAATCAGTAGAAACTTAATGATACTCTTCTTGAATCCCTTTCATATTGTCTTTTAATCAATCCTCTTATTCTTAGTCTTTACTTTCACTCTCTGTAATCCCTTTTGTGTAGTAGTGGCATTCCCACCTTGCTTGGGGTGAAATGATTTAAAAAAAGAAAGAAAGAACAAATATTAAAGTGACATCAAAAGGTCTATGTTCTTTAAGTTGTAGCTGAATCCTTGTTCATATTACACATAATGCAATGTAGAGATGGCATAATAGTTATTAACACGAGAAAACAGAATCAGTAAACAGAGATTTAATATCAGATAAGACAGTCTATCTTCATTTCAAACTAAAATTCTTGGGAAAAGAATGAAGCAACTTCTGTGTTCTGTGTCATCATCTTGACAAAATATGGTTGGTGGGGAGAAAATGGGCAAGTGAACACTTAGAGAAGTTACTCTCCCTTTACTTGACAAGGCCATGACAACCAAAAGCTGTTACCCTGATAACCAATCTTGTCAGGGACCAATATTAATGAAGAACTTGAAGTTCAATGCATTTTGATGTTTAAAATTTTATGTCTCAACTCCCCACTCCTGCTCTAGACAAATGTGGTCGGATGCTTAAAGTTTGTACAAATAACTGCAATTAATTTCTATAGTAAATCATTTGCAATATAGGCTCAAGAGCCCAAAACATACTTAAACACGTACCTTCTCTCATGAGGTTATGGTTTAGTAATACAAATCTTACTAATTAATCTATAGCAGGGGGGAGAAGAGGTGGATTCATACCTTTCCCAAGGGTATTTGCGTGTAAGTGAATATAATGAAACCAATGGGAATTGAAACTTGACATTTCTGAGCCATTATCCATTACATCACCTGCACATCCAAGTGGTCACCCATCTAGGTACTGACCAGGCTCAATGTTGCTTAACTTTGGTGAATGTATGGGAATCTGTATTTCAACATGATGTGGCTGCAAGTCAGTTCTTGTTCTAGATTCTTAATTAAAAGAAGAGAGAATCTTATTCTGCCCAAATTTACAGGAATTCATGGGTACACAGATGACCCCTAGGGGTAGTGATCACTGTAAAGAGCTGATGACTATGCCTGCAGATGTGTTGAGTGACACCAGAATTGAAAAAGGATGCAATTTTCTTTTTCTTTTTTGGTTGTTAGCATCCTTGTCAGTCCCATTCTTGACCCTCTGTGAATACACACGTGAGATGTTGAGTTCTGTTAGAAATAGGCACATTTATGCTACTATTGCTTAAGAAAGGCCTAGAGCAGTTGTCCCCTCATGAAATCTTCACAGAAAAAGCCATAGTTTAGCAAAGACTTTGGGTAGTTGGTCAACTGTAAAAAGCTGTAGTTTAGAAAAGAATTTGATCATCAATGAAGATTCATTGACTGTCAAAGTTTTTGCAACTGATTCAGTTGATGCGCCGACATGTTTCTCTCAGTACATGCCTGGGGCAGGAGTGAGGAGTGGGTAGAGAAAAAGGTTATGTAGCCATGACTTCTTTTTTGTTTGAACAGCTTGGAGAGAGTTGTATCTCTGCTCTCAAAAGTTGAAATCTGTGGAAATTTTTCACAAAAGTAAGGTTTTAGTTTTCTCTGATTGGTCAAATATTTCACATTGTGATATCAATTTTTAAGCAATAGACATTTTGATTTAAATGGTGTTGCATGGTAGTTTTTTTTTTCTTTTTTGGCATGTTTGTAATATTATCTGTCATTGGGAAGAAAATAAAGTTAAGGCATGTTTTAATATGGAATGTATGTAGGTATGTATTTGTGTTGGAAATAAGGGCCTATTTCATATACACTGTTGAACAATTTTTCTTGATGATATGATACTGGTTGGTTGTTATATTATGCATAAGGATCTTTTATAAAATTTACTCCATAAATTACCACTATCCCATTTTTGAGGATGTGGAGCATTAATGAATTATAATTAAGCATCAATGATTAAAACTAGTGATGGGATGATACCAACATTCTTACTGATTGCTATACAATTCCTGATACTGTTCGAAATTTCTGATTCCATTACCAATCATTATTAGGCCCTACAGTTGGTTTGGGAAACTTCATGAACAAAGTACATTTATTAATAAAACATTTAGTAGAAAAATGAATACAAAAGCTCATGAAATAAACTTTGATAGTCTTTTTATTTAAAAAAATTCGGTGAGAGTCTAAACAATAAAGAGAACAATTTCTTTAAGTAAATCACTTATGTATCTAGCTATTCATATTTAATTTCTAAAATTCATAAATTATAATGTAAGAACATTATCATCTCTCCCATTTTGCCTTTCAGTCAATTTCATTGTTAGTAAGTAAATGTTACCTCCAATATTAAATAGCTGTTCACTTTCAACAGAAGTGGGAGGTGCTGATAGATATTTCCTGGCTAAAAGTGCCATGATGGGGAAATTCATTTTTATTTAAATTCCACCACTGAAAAACATTATCACTTTTTAAATTTTTTAATGCAATATACAGGGTGATTAAAAAGTTACTCCTTATTTTATATAATTCCTGCTAAAGGAAACGTAAATGCCTACCACCACCCTTATATGGAATCCTTTGGATTAAGTGCTGATCGAAACTCCTTATATGGAATTTTATTTTTAATTTCTACTTAAGAAAATAATTGAAAATTTGAATTTTAAAAATCTTATATAATAAGATTCCAAATGCAGACATTGTTTTTCTTTTCTATAAATTAAAAAAAAGATAATAAAAATTGTCTTAAAAGAAAGCCTGGCAGAACAACATGAATTCATTTTGTGTTTATATTACATTATAATTTTTCTTATAAATATTAAATTAATTTATAATATTCACCCATTTGGTGAATTAACAATGTTTAAAATGATGTAACATAAGTAAAATTAAATTTACACCATGCTTAGATGTTATTATGACCTATAGATTTTAGTTTCACTGATAGTTTAAAATCAATAAATATTTATATCTTTTTATCATTAGTAACAGGAATGGAAAATTAAGTTTTAAACAAAAAAAAAATCCAAAGAATCATTTTTGGAATCAAAAATTAGGTTATAAACTGATTCAGATACCCTGCAAAATTCCAATATTTCTAATTTTCAATTAATACCGAACATTATACAGACTTACAGTACATACCAAATTTTTTTAGAAACCTATAATGCCAAATTAAAAAAAATTCCTATATCAGATTTATTTCTAGAAATATATGCCAGGTTTATTTTTTTTAGGAACCTATAATATCAAACTTTGTTTTTAGGAACCTATAATACCAGATTTTTTTTTTTTTTTAGGAACCTATAATACCAGATTTATTTTCAGAAACTCATAATAAATATCAGATTTTATGGTGGGCATTAACAAATTACAAATGGTATACACTAAGTTTTTGAAGAAAGGATTGTGAACTTAATTAAAATAGTTAATTTTAATTTTTACTTTAAACAAACTATGGTGACTTGTGGAAAGTTGTAAATATTTCCCTTAATTTCCAGTTGAATTAAGAGGAAGCAATATTTTTACAAAACCTAAAAAGCAATAAATTCTTTGGAAGTGTAGTTAACATGTTTATATCAGTAAGTAAGCATGTGTCTTTCAAACATTCTTTTCATCCGTACAATAAAATCCAATATAATTGGAAAATGTTTATATAATATATATATATATATATATATATATATATATATATATAAAGTAAAGAAAATTACAAAGAGAGATTAATTTATACTAAAACATGTGACGAGCAGAGATGCTAAAAATTTGATATGAATGAGAAGAGGGAAAAAGAAATGAGCATAAGAGACACTTGAACAACAAAAGTAACAGATCGTGACAATTGCAAAACTTATCTTCATGTCAGTCATTGAAAACAAAAAAGAAAAATCATTGACCTTTTTTGTAAATCAATGCTTTTTATCTAACTCTCCCAGGAGAGAGGCTAAAGAGGATCACCTTTTTTCTTTTTTAATAACTTGTTGAAACTTGTTCTGATTCCTATTTCATAATCTCAGCATTATTCAGTAATTATTTAATAACTGTTTTCGATTAGTTTTTGTCTGAGATTTTGAGATGAAGTGTTAATATTTCATAAATTTTATGGACTATTCTATTTTTTGTTGTTTTTATTTTTTTCCATAATGTTGCGGTTGGTTAATTTACCAGTCTTCTTTGGGTAGAATGTATTCAAGTATTTCGTTGTCCATTCGTCATGTTATATGCTTTATAGAATGTCATAGATAAGCTGCCTAATTTTTCATGATTGAGTTTCCTTGCTATTTTGTTTTCTTTTTGTTAACAAAGTTCAAGTTTTTATTAATTTAATACCAGTTCTCATATAGTATCAAGTTCTGTGCTCGGATTACTAATGGGATTTTTTAATATTTATATGACATGAAAAAGAAAAAGGGAAATCACTATCTCATTGAGAAGCAGCAACTCTAATTGCTCAAGAACCATGGAGGAAAATATAAAAACTAAAGGAATCAGCATATTTGCTATTAACAGGCATAGATATTAAAATAGGTTTTTGGAGTGATCCTGATTATTATAGGACACTGCCTGATAGTTCTTGGTTGGTTGGTTTGGTGGGATATCAACCTCTATGGGTTATTTAATGCTGAAATCTAAATATCTTGAACAAAATTTTATGACTTCAAGTAAATATATTTTGAATGCAGTTGTATGCTTTCAACTACTTATAAAATGTATTGTTGGTAATTCTACTATAAAATATATTGCTAGTCATTTTACTCTAAATTTATAATGTCGGTATTTTTACTATAAAAAGTATTTTTATACTTACACAGATTTTTGTTTTTTGTTTGTGTGTTCACTATTTGCCCATAGCTAAGACCCTAACAGGTGCTATCTGGGCACAATGCCAATTAAGAAGTGGTACTACACTCCTCAAAACCTCCAATCTCCCAATCAGAGGCCTTGCTGCCAGATGTAGTTTATTATCATACCCAGGATTACTGATAGTTCTTATCACCACTCATCATGTATAAACAAAGCTTTCTAACCTTGGTAAAATAATCTGTCAGGTTGTAATAAAATTATCGAAATTAACTCAGTACCTGTTACTTTGTTGGCAGCAAGATGATCAAATTTCAAATCTAAATTGTTTGTCCATTTAAAATATTGCATTTATATTCAGTTTAAATAGAGAAAGAGTCATAAAAATGACTTCAAAAGAGCAGTACATTTAAGCTTATACTTTTTCCTGTTACCCAAGGGTTGTTACCAGACAAAAAGTGAAATTATTCCCAGAAGTTCATTTCAATTTCATTCAAACTGTGTATGTATGTACATTTGCATGTGTGCATTCATATTTTAAATCGAGACATCTAAAAATATTTTTAAAAAATTAAAAAAAATAACATTTAAAACAATTCTATTTATTACTAAATAATTTGAGAAAAAAGTTCAATAAGTCTTTTTTTCCTTCAAAATTTGATTTTTGATCATTCCCAGGTACACCTTGTCCAGACTGAGTGAAAGAGGAATGTATTATTCCAATGTCTTATTTCAAACTCAGTCAAATTGTGTGTACATTAAATTGCAGCACAAGTACATGTAAGCCACACACGTCCAACACAGGCAGAAAATTAGCTTGTCTTTTATGATAAAGATTTTAGATTCAAAACACTTGACAGACATTAGGCATTTTGGGGATGATGTTTAAGATCACAACTTTTTGCAAAGAAATTACAACTAAATAGTAATTAAAAGTTCTTTCTTAAAGGTTATCCTTTCCAGGTAATCAATTAGTAAAATTAGTTGGGAGAAAAAAGTCATAGTATTAAACTGATTTATTCTAATTTTAAAGGTTTTCCAACTAAGAAAATGATCAAATTAAATGAAAATCTTAAGGTGCTGACTTCAAGGATTTATTAGTAAAATATTCAAATCTAATGACTTTATCTTGTCATTCAGAACAATGGCACACAGCATTTTGGT